TAGAAAGAAATTACCTTAAAAAATGTACATCGGCTTCGTTTAAAAACAAAGAGTTGAAAAAAAAAAAAAAAAAAATTTTTTTACAAAAATGTGTTGTACTACATTAAAAGAACATTTCGAATTCAAAGTGATAAAATTGAGGGATATACTTCATATTCATCAAAATTGTTCAAAAATAATGATATAATAAAATTGTTCATTTTTAGTAGCACGAAATATAAAATAAACCAGAACGTGATTATTTTTATGAAACGAAATTTGGAGGGAAGTGGAAAAAAGAAAAAAAAAAAAAAAAAAAAAAAAGCCTGCTCCATTTAACGCATTTAAAATATGAATTAAAAATATATGTATAAAAACCCACTATGGGGATAAGAAAAATACACAGAAAGAAAATACATATTTTATTGACTCACAAAATTGACTATTTAATGAAAGGTTCGTTAAAAAAGGAAAAAAAAAATACACAACATGAAAAAATGCAAATAAAAAAAACATAAAACATAGGAAAAAATAACTTTTTATTTAAAAAAATAAATAACAGAACAATGGGTTAAAATAAAAGTGGACTAAGTGACAAACACAAAAATCTAACCAAAATAGGTTAAAAAAAAATTATTCTTAAATAACATAATATTCCAAAATATAGAACTCACAAATGGTCAAAGTAATAGAATACCACAAGTTCCTCACCACTTCTAATTTAAATGGATCACACAAATGAAAACCTTATTTAGGACAATGAGGGAATGACAGCAGTTATATGTAATGTATGCAAAACTTAGGTCATCATTGAGATATAGCGATTTATAAAAAAAAGAAAAAAAAAGCACATTTGACAATTTTCCTTTTCCTCCAAAAGGGAAAAACTACAACTTCTGTACTCTTTCTTAAATATCCATCTTTGTACTTAAAAAAAAAAAAAAAAACTACAATAACATGAAAGGTATACCATTCCTTATCCAACACCAGAGGCCAAAAAAAATGTCTCTTTTTTTTTTTTTTTTGAAAAACACATAACACAATTCAAATGACAGAAAAAGCTACGATATATGAAAAAACTTGCACTAGGGACTGATTTCTGTTGTTGCCCTTTTTTCCACTAGAAATAAAAACAACATTGAACAAATTAAGATACATAGTACCAATTCAAACAAACCGATCTGTCCAAACACACAAAAAAGAGGAATATCTTAAAATTTTGTTATAGAGGATGATGCAGCATACAAATATGGTATTGTGGAACTAGTGTGTAAATTTCATAATAAACAGATTTAATAATCGTTTAAAACGTGTACTCTGTTAATCAAATATGTACAACACAACAACTATACCAAGAATATATATTTTTAAACAAAGTCTATTCATGCACACTCCCAATAAAATAAACACATTTTTTCTAGAATTATAAATAACTTCCCTTTTTTATGAGTCCCTCCCCTTAATCTCATAACCATTTTATTTTCCTACTCCCAAAAAAAAATATGCACGAAAATGAAGCATCAATTTACACCTCTCCCCTTTATTTTTTTTTTTTTTTTTTTTTTTTTTCATCTAAAAAATTAATGGTATAACATCACCTTTAAAGAAAAATAAACAGCTGTTTATATATACTTTCTTTACAATTAAAATTCTTTATGACAAAATGGGGTGAAAACATTACTTATTGATATGTGGAGTTTAAGACTGAATTGCTTAACCCCTACCTCACAGCAGGATTATACTATGTAAAAAAAAAAAAAAAAAAAATTGTACATATACGGTTCTTAATTTAAACAGAACAATGCTTCATTACAACAAATATTTTTTTTTTTTTTTTTTTTTTACATAGTATAATCCTGCTATGCGTAAGAAACAGGGACAGTGTTAAAAATAATGAAATTAGAAATCCATAAAATATGTTAAACATAATGTGTATATAATATATTGTAACAAACACACTAACAAGGACGAAGTAACATATATACTTACAATGAAAAAATGAGTTGAAAAAAAAAAAAAAAAAATTATTATTTATGGGGAGAGATATTTCATGAGGAAAAGATGGCCAATTTTTAAAAACTCCAAAATTGGTGAATAAAAAACACATGAGGAAGAAAAAAAACTTCCCTAACCTTACAAAAAATAGTGCGGATAATTCAACATAATGGAATATCGCAAATTCTGAGTAACATAATCGGGAAATACAAATAATTTCGATTTTTCGCGTATCTTAAAAAAGATGATAAACAAAAAGGTAGGACTACTTGTATTCATATTACTATTCGTAGACTCTTCAAAAAGAGTACGATAATTTTCGTTAATTTTTATTTCTAAAAATATTTTTTTATCTTGCACATTTTGATAAGCATAAGAATTATACATACATAATAATATATTTAACATATCCATTAAATGGTCAAACACTTTTTTTGCTTTATTCTTAATAATACCTAGGTAAATATAATTATAAATCTTTTCCCATAAACTTTTATCTCCTATTTGATAAAAACATATTTTATTATAAAATATAAATTGAAAAAATGTTTTTATTACACTCAAAATGTTGACATTTTCTTTGCTCATCTCAAATAAAAGACATAAAAATTTCCCCAAGTTTTTAAAAAATCCATTTTCATCAGCATTAGAAAATAACACTTGTTCATTAATTTCCAACCCGTTTAACCCTCTTAACACGTTCCTTCTCTTTCCTTCACATCCATCCTTTGATGTTATATGGTTATATACTTCTCCTTTGGAGATTTTCCCTTCACGCTCTTCTATCCTCGTTATCAAACATGTCTTAGACATCATATCATCATCATCATTTTCATCCACCACGTCTATCCTTTGCTTCTCAAAAAGAAGAGTAATATTTGTTTCGAAATGCATACACTTAATGATATCCTCCTGATGATACTCTTTATTCATTTCAAACTGAAAGTTGTGTAAGTTCTCGATTTTTATCAATTTATTTAAATATTGGTAATTGAAAAAGTGCAACCACGAACTCATATCATCTTTGATCAAAAAATAACAAAATAGACATATCCCCAAATTACTGAAATAGACACAGAAATTGCTATCATAATTAGCTATATCTTCTAGACAGTTATGAAAATATTTGTTTTTAAAAAAAACAATGCACCTGTATAATTTTGCAAAATTAAAATTTCTTATAAAAATAAAAGGAATATTAAAAACAAATGTATATAAGTGTTGAAATATTTCAAATTCTCGTACATCCACAAGAACATCTAAAATGTCATTAAAAAGGGCATACATTTCATTATCATCTATTACAGCATAATTTTCAGTCACGTGAAGTTTACATGAATTATTTGTTAATTTTTCTTCATTTTCATTTCTTTTTAACATAACGAATAACATGAAATTAAAACATTTTAATAATGTCAAAATGGTAAAGTAGTAATCAGCACGGTTCTTCTCCTTTTTCGAACTCTTAAACAAGTCTCTTACCTTACAATATAAAATTAAAAATTTATGTAAATTTTCTGTTTCTAATTCATCATAATTCTCACATTTATAAATGTCAATGAAGGAGTCAATAAATTTCCCTATCGATATAAAACATGCCTCTTTATCTTTTACAAACTTAGAACCCAAAAAAATATGAAATTCTTCTACATACGCATTAAAAAATTTATAAAAGTGAAATATATTTCTTTTTTGTAAAATCTGATAAATATCCTTATAATAATTATTTTCACAAGTTTTCACATTTTTAATAATAAAACTTGTAGCAATTAATTTGGATTCCATTTTTTTTAACATTATTTTATTTTCCTCATCGAATAATCTTTTCTTCTCCATTTCCCTTTCGCACATAGACACTATTTCTGTTGTCAGAATTTTTGTCATCTTCTCATACATGCGTGCTGAGTTCCCCATTTTTTCGTTCAGTGAAAAAGACGTTAATAATTTTTCAACACGTTTTTTTATTATTTCTTCTAAATGAGAATTAGAAACACCTGAATTGTTCCTAAGATGTAAAATAATTTCCTGATCTACTAAATTTGAGTCTCCTATAACATCACTGATACGGGCTAAAAAATTATCAAATTTATCAGCATTCTCTGTAATATCACCATTCAAAGTTATACCATAAATTTCCTCCTTCATTTTCCCCTTGAAATTACCTCCTTCCACAAATTCTCTTACACATCCGTTTATATTATGAACCACATTTAAATCTTCAAACAGTGCTATATTATCTACTCTCTTTTTGTCTCTAAAAATATTTTCATCATCCAAATCAACCAAATATTTTTTTTTTAACAAATATAAAATTACCTCACTAGAATAATTTCTAATCTGTTTAATATCTCTAAAATTATAAGACCATTCAGAATGATCACTTAATAAAGAGTTATTAACAAATTTTATGTAGCAGTAGAACGGAACTCTATGTACCAAATAGTACAACAACTCGTTCATATGAAACAAGTAACAATTACATATATGTTTAGAAATAAAATCCGAAATAGAAGAAAAAACAGTTATACATAAATTCACATTTGAATATATATTATCCATTAATAAATTTTCATATCTTTCTAGTAATTTTATAATTACAAAAGAAACGATACCCATAATGTATTTTCCCAAATTATTTTCCTTTAATAAAATTGAAAGGATATACCTTATGCACTTTTCAATACCTTCAACCTGCTTATAATTACTGATTACTTTTTCTATAATTTCTTTTTCCTTCTCTAAATTATTGTACTTGACTAATTTTCCAAAAAATATTTCCTTCTCTGTGTAATTCTCATTTTCACATTTCCCCTCATTCATTAATCTCATATCGACATAACTTGTTTCTATTTTTTCACTGTTTAGAATGTAAAATTGTAGGATTTTTCTTAAGTCCAAACTGAGTTTATCTGATGACAATAAGCAGCTATTTATGCAATCAGTGAGATATAGTTCTACTTTTATATTTCCTTCAAATTTTCTGTGAAACAACAACAAATTTTCTAAAATTTCATTCCTTTCGTAACATTCATGTGAATGAAACTTATATGAGGTTACTTCTACTCCCTTATCACATATCACCATTGTGTCTACTCCATCATTTAATTTGTGATCTCCTTCTAGTTCTGTTTTATTCACATTTCTCTGTTGTTGTGGAAATCCATTTGTGCTTTTCTTCCTGTCACTTTCTCCTTCTTCTTCTCTATTAAAAATATCTAATTCTGCAGAAAACTTAAGACATGCACTTTTAAATGTATTCAAAAAAGTAATGCATATTTTCATATTCATCAGAGATGATTCAATTACTGTGCAAATGAATTCTAAAAATGGAATCATTTTTAACGAAAATGTTTTTAAATCTATCTCTTTAAGAACTTCAATTAAAAAAGTCACTATGGAAGAATCAATTAAATCATTCTTTGCAACGATATAATTCGTTAATTCTGAGTTAAGTGCATCTAACATACAATCAGATTCATCAATTTTCAAATTCATTTGTAAGAAATCATTTTCAATCCTTTTCATAGTTTCACTTACTTCCTTTAATGATATATACTGATAAATTTTCAATTTTATTATATCATTTCGTGATTTCATAGTACTTATTAAAAGTTCCTTATAAATACACTTCATCATCCAATAGAATCTTTTTTTCACTTTCTTAAAATCGATTACACTGTATAGAACTTCTCTCGATTCAGAATCAAAAGCTAAATGAGGAGCATCCACATTGTTCCTATTCGTAAAATTTTTTACATTTCTGTTTGAACGCTTTTCATTAAACAAGAAAGATTTTCCATAAGTACACAAATCGGTATCATACTTCTCATTATTAAGAGAGAAAAAGTTTCCAATTTTTTTGTCAAAACTGTATAGCGACAAATCAGAATATTGCATAAACAAAAAGAGATATACATAGCTCAAGCAATGTCTACTCAAGCATATATAACACTGAATTAATTCCATATTTCTTTCCCCACTGACAGATTCATAAACATTGTTCAATACATAATCTTTTCTACTTTCGAATTTTTTTATTTCTTTTATAAAATTATTATCTATTTCTTTTTTCTTCTTCCTAAAATATGTTTTATATAACGAATCATCATATAAATTGCTAAACTTGTTATATACCTCTTCAGCAAATTTTTCTACATCCCTTTTATCTGGCACTTTTATATGTAAATTGTTAAATCCATTCATTTTCCAATCTAACACTGTCTCGTCTTTCCATTCCTCATGGTTAAATATTCCCATATTGGACTCTCTAACACAGAATATATTTCTCAAATGAATTTCTATATGTTCCAAAATGTCACAACTCATATTTCTTACCTCCTTTTCAATCGATTTTTTCATTTTAATGCATTTTTCAATATCTGAGTTAGTTGATATGTCCTTCGTGGATGTAAATTCTTCTCTATCATCAATAAAGAAAGTTTTCCCTCCCAAATCATCCTCATTTTTTATCTCTTTTGTCTTTTTTGCCATCCAAAAGATTCCTTCTCCTTTTTCTCTTCCCTCCTTAATCTCCTTCATCAGTAAAAAAGTCTTTTCCAATGTAGTTACATCATTAATGTTGATGTTAGATTGAACTGAGAGGACGAAAAACAAAATGCTTAATCCCCAAAATCCATATTCAGAATATATATCATTCTTTAATTTTATATGATCCATGAAAAATTCTGCTATAGTTGCGACATTCTTGTTTATATATTCCAAAAATGGATTGTAATGTAAAATATAGCACATAATTATGCATAGGAAATTATTTACATTTTTTGATGTATTATGTAAAGGATCAAAAATGGAATGTAACAAATCATATGATAACTTATTGGAATACAATTTATCTAATCGTAGAAACATGTAAGATATGTAATGTCCATACAACTGTTGAATTTTCAAATTTTCCACATTTAATGTGTTCCTTATATCTTCCTTCAACATATCATTAATTGAATCATCTTTCAGCGTAGGTAAACAACTAATGAATTTTAACAAACTTTTAATTAAAGAAATGTTTGCACAATTTAAATCCATTTTTGCATATTTCAACACATTTAGAAGTACATCCACTATGTGATGAATTAAAAAATGAGATTCTTCTCTCCCTTCAACCAATACAGTGTAGTTACTTTCTTTTATTATTTTAACCCATGTCTGTATAAAATATTTGCAAAAAAATATTAAATAGAAGAACTTAAAGCAGTATCTTAACAATTCATTATGTTCAATTGTTTTCTCCTTCTTTATGCAGTTAAAGTATGTATATAACAAATAATTCGTGATTCTTTCAACAATTGTGTAATACCTTTCATCAATTTTATTTTCCTTTTTTATTATATATCCAAAAAGGTATATATAAAAACATAAAGTTCGATTTCTTCCCTTTGACGTTTCATTGATTTTTTCGAAATTTTCTGAAATGAGAGAATTCTCAAGCTTGTCATATAAGTCCTCATGTATTTCTTTACCTACCATATATACATTCCCAAACAGTTTTGTTGTTTTTTTTATCAGCTTACTATGATTATTTATGTCTAACATGTTACTTAAAATTAATTCCATTCTTGTCTTCAACAAAACGGTGAAATATGTGTATATATCCATTTCCTTACTTTTTAGAATGTCCAGAGTTGATTTTCTAGAATATCCATATATTTTTTCATTTTTTATCTTCTTCAAAAAGGAACTTAATTTCCTTACAACCAATGTAAAAACAGAGCAGTATAGAATTAAATAACTGTCTTTCAAGTAGCTATCTTTCAAGGAGCTATCTTTCAAGGAGCTATCTTTTGAATTATTTTCACAATTTATGATCCCCATGAAAAAAAGGTCTAATATCAAAAGTACATAATAAATACTTTCAACGTGGGAAAATGTGCAAAAATTTATCATCTCATAATACTTGATCAAATTGTGCAACCTGTGTATATTAAAATATGCATAATTTACATTTCCATATTCGATAGCATTATCTGCATTCTGTATAAAAGTTACATTAGGATGCATTATTTCGGTATAATTTATTAATTCCATCTCTTCACAATTTTCTTCTTCTTTTACATTTTCAATGTACACATCAGTGTCTGTATTACTAAACAAGCGAATCACAAACGTGTCATTTTTTTGAAACAATTTTTTTGAGATAAAAAACGTGTATTCATCAAATGATATTTTCTTTTCCTTCTTCTGTAGATTCAAATAATCCCTTGCTAAATCTGACAAAACAGCATCACTGCAATTTTGATACAACAAAGAATAGTATACATATTCACAACTACCAGAAGAAAATATATTAGCAGACCACTTTAACAATGCACTGATTAATAATGTGTTATCTGAAAAGGTTATGAAATGATCTAACAAATGTGTAACATTTTGAACTATTATTTTTTGTACATTTTTTTCATTTTCATAATTATTCCTTTTATTTTCCATCTTTTCACATTTCAATTCTTTCTCCTTGAATAAAAATGAATTATCCACATTTACAAACTCTTCTATATTTACCTCTTCAGTAGTTACATACCTCCCTAACGAGTGCACCGATATATTTGCATCCTCTGATGTAACTACCAAAGAAATTTCATTTATTTTTATGCAATTTTTGAAGTATTTCTCTAAGGATGACAAAACTTTCGTTATGCTATTATACAGAATGTAGGACTCTTTTTTCCTCTTCTTAAAATTTTTCAATTTATCAAAAAAGGAATAAGCCAATATGTATGACCTATTCAATACTGTCATGTTAATCCATCCCGAATTCAGATGTAATTCATAAAATTTTTCTATCATAGTTGATATGTCTACAAGACCACAGTCGTGATTATCATCCCATCCTCCCTCATTATTCTTTCCTCCTCCTACTACTCCTGCTTCTTCTACTTCAATCAGTTTTAGATAACAAAATATGAGGTGAAAAATGCATTCGATATATTCATTCAAAAGATCTTTTTTTGTATTTTCCAAAATAAACAGCATTAAGTTAAAGAGACATTTTTTCAAATCGTCGTTTTTCAATTTAAACTTATATCCATTTTTATTTAAAAATTTCACAAACATTTTTTTGTCACTAAATAAAATTTGAAAATTTGCATACTCTGTCCAAAAGTTGATATTTCTTATATCATTACAAAAAAAGAAAAAAAAAAAATACATATAGCTAAGTAACATATCCAAGTAAGTTTTATCATTTGGTACCCTAGTACTCTTAAGAAACAAATTCAAAATTTTTATCACATAATGAACTGGGTACACATTATTGTCAAAATATTTTAGTATATCAAAGTTTGTACATATAAAAAGGTTGTCGTTAAAATTTAGAAATCTCTTCTTTCCTAGTAACAATGAATTTGCAAACTCTTTTATCTCATCAAATTTTTCATTGAAACATATGATATAGGAAGAATATGTTAAATTGTTGTTATGTAAAAAATTGCTAAAAAAATATAGTGTATTCTTTTTCATTTTTATATGATTTTGTACAGAATAATTTTTGCTGTTCAGAAATTTCTCCTTATATATTTTAATTACATCTTCTGGAAGAAATTTGACTTCAGTCACATTTATACAATAAATTGGAATAGCTAAAAATTCATTCATAAATTTTACAAAATGGACAATTTCATTATTCAACTCACCCCCATTCTTACTGATATCCCTTGAAAAATACTCTTCCATCATTTTCTTATTCTTCTCGTCATTTAAAATTTCTAAACATTCTATAAATTTTATAATCATAAATATACACATTTCCCTATTACAACCCAACTTGGAACTATTTTCAATTACAGTCTTTTGAAATTTTAGTTTCTCTTCATCACTTACATTTTTAAAGCCTATATCTAAAAATATAGACAAAGTACTATTATACAGAATCTTGTTCTTACATTCCTTCTCGGCAGTTTGAAAATAATTCAATACTATTTCTGATAGTGGAATATCAACACTTTCAAACGACTTACATCTTAAAATGCAATGACTCACAATTTCTATTAACGTTCTTTCGGGCCTCCCTTCGCTAGCAAAAATTTCGTTCAGAAGAACGGGGATGATCTGAAAAGAAGAAAAAAAAAAAAAAAAAAAAAAAAATGCGCTCACAATAATGACACACCAGTGCTGAAACAATAATGACACACCAGAGCTGAAACAATAATGACACACCAATGTGTAACCAACAGTGCAAACAAAAATAGTGAAATAAAAAAAAAAACCATAGCAAAAAAACAATATTAAAGGCAAAGGGTTCGAAGTCTTACTTTATACAAGACAGCCTTAATTTTATCATCCTTCGTCAGACACAAATTTAATAAAATATCGTCATAGTTTTTTTTCTTCGTTTCCTGCACAGACATTTTTTTTTCTTTCTTTTTTACAGCAAACTGTAGCAACAGAACGAGAGAAAATGCATCAGTTCACTCAGGTGATATACAAAAAAATGCATCACTACATTTACGACACTTTGTTATAAACCCTTTTATCTGTAAATTAACTTGAGAAAAAAAAAAACGAAGAAATGAGGGAAATGAGGAAAATGAAGAAAACGAAGAAAACAAAGAAATGAGGAAAATGAAGAAAATAGAACAAAAAGGAGAGTATAAATTGAACCCTTAGCTTTTTATTCATGCCATCTTCACGTTTTTAAATCTGCAGCAAGTCAACATTATAGGGCTTGCAGTAATGCTCTTTCATTTCTTTTCTTTTTTTTTTTCTATATTTTGTTTCTTTTTTTTCTCGATGTGTTATATCGTTATGGCTTTAAAAGCCGTTTAACCGTGCTACAACAGGTGAAGAAATAAAAAAAAAAAATATAAAATAAAATAAAAAGTGGAAAAGTTCATTCAAATAAAAAAATTTTAAATAAAGCGATCGTAATGGTAGCCTGTGCAATAAGTTGTAACATTCAAGTTTGCAAAAAAAAAAAAAATAAATTAAAAATAAAATAAAGCTGACAAAATGGTAAAACTAACAAAATGATATAAAACGGTATAACAACAAAGTGATAAAGTAAAAAAAAATAGAAGACTCCTCAACCGGAATTATACCCACTAATAAATTATGCCATTTAAAATTTGAAAGTTTGTTCAACCTTTTTCCCATTTTTTCAAATAATTATCCTTTCAACTTTTCCATTTGTGATTAGTCGTAAATGTAATTTTCAAAATGTCAAGCATTAAGTAAAACCAAATAAATAAAAAAAAAAAAAAAAAAAAAAAACTCTTATATTGGATCCATTCCAGCAGTATTCCTCTTGTTTATATGTGAATTTTCCAATTTTAAAAACATTTCCCCATATGTGTAAGACTTTTACTGTGTTATATCCCTAGATGATAAATCTGGTAAAATAAAAAAAAAAAAAAAAATTATTCCCTAACCTAATAACATCTTATTCATATTTCAAGGACAAATGTGTGTAAATACCCCTTTGAAATATTCCTTCTCCACACGAATGGCATAACCTAAAAAAAAAAAAAAAAAAAACTACTACACATTTTTGATTACAATACAAAGTAGTAACGGCGCATAAAAGACAAAATTAGAGCACTGTCCTCTACACATTTGCCGACTATTCAGAATAAAAATAGTTTATAAATGTGGAAAAAAAAAAAAAAAAAAAAAAAAAAAAAAAAAAAAAAAAAAAACGCATTTAATTTTACTTTTTATGAAAATATAAACTTTGAAATTGTGGCATAAACAATTATTCACATAAAACTGTTCAAGGAATTTATCGAATTATCTATATTTTACACCGTCCAGAAAAAAAAAAAAAAAAACAAACAAACTATTTTTATTACTCAAAAAAAAATATATGTATCTCATGACTATCACGTTTTGTCTCATTTGTCCAAGATGTATACAAAGTAATATTTCAACACATATAGAAAAATTTATTTACCGTTATTACAATTGTTTTCAATTTTGTTAATTTTTCACAATTTCTGGGAATATTTGTCTCCTACTAAGGACTTAAAGGGAAAAATATACACAAAGATAATTCATTAAGGGAAAGAAAAAAAAAATAATAAAATAATAAAATAATAAAATAATAAAATAATAAAATAAAAAAATAAAAAAATAAAAAAATAAAAAAATAAAAAAATAAAAAAATAAAAAACATATCACGTCAAATTTTCTTCATTCAGTTCCCCCTTTTAATAAATCTATTATAAAAATATTTTATCACTCTGAGGTGTCTACTAACGAATATATAACTATTTTCCCTCCTACTATAAGCTTCTTTTGTTCTTAAATCTTTAAATATTTTGTTCTAATTGTTTAATGCCTCTTCTTAACATTAAAGTTGTTTTTCCACATTTTTTTTTTTTTTTTCTTTTTCATTTAACACTATTAAAATACTTTTTTTTCTACTGTTCACTCTACATAAGCATTCTATTGTATAAAAGAACATCAAAGAAAACGAAATAACAAATAAAAAAAAAAAAAAAAAAAAAAGCAAAGCAAAGTAAAAAAAATGAAATGCCTCCTATTTTCATGCAACAGTAACTATTACTATGATGACATTTCGAATTCACTTCCATCTGAGGATGAGGAATTCGAAGAAATAATCAATAAAACAAGCAGACAAAAAGATTTACATTACAAGTTAGAGAAAACCATCAACAAAATAATATATGATGCGAAAAAAACATGTGCTGTCAATTCTGATTTTGAACAAGTAGAGAAAATTCCAAACCAACAATGTGAATACATCTATTCAGATGATTCTTTAGATGACATAGATATAATTTTAAAAAAAAACAAAACTAAAAATATGTTTCTCAAGTCAAAGGAAAAGGACAATCAAGGTGATATATTACTACTACCTTCTCAAAATGTAAAACAGAGAATTTATTCATTAGGTGAAGATAACCAAGACACAAAAAATATAAGATCCATAAATAGCATAAAAAATAACAATCAACAAATAGACCTTCAAAATGATGAAATCATTGAAAATTTCAAACATGTGCTATGCAATGGTTTAAATCAATATATTCAAGAAATGCTCGAAAAAATAAAAAAAAACACGACAATGCAAATGACAATTGAATCGACCGAACTTGTAGATATGAATAACTCGTGCTACAAAACTTCTGAAAAAAAAAGTGACATTTTAGACGATGTGATTTCCAATTGGTGTGATATACCCTATGAACACATTACTACCGACACAAATGATGAAAACATCAACTACCTTAAAGGGAAAGAATTATTAAAAGATGCATCCTGCAAATTTGAAAACCAAATAAATGAAAACACAAGTGGGAAAAATATATACCACGTTAAATCACTAATTGATGCTAACGCACAAAGGGACGATACAAGGTCGAGAAACACTAATCCTGAAACGTTCATTGAAAATGTTAAGCAAAATAAGGAGTTTACAAAAAAAATGTACAAACATAAAAGGAATAATTTAAGCAAGCGTAAATATAAACATAATACTTATTCTGCAAAAAGGAAAAAATGGACAAAAGAAAATCCACGCACCTTATCTGAAAAGAAAAAAGTTCATTGGAGCGATACTCTAGAAACATGTGAAAAGCGAAGCAATGTCCCAAGGAAATACATACTCAATTATTTAAATAAATCATCAGTAGGAGTTAGCAATATCTCTGGTAAAGTTTTATGCTAGGAGCACAAACAAAAAAAAAAAAAAAAAAAAAAATTTCCAAATTCAAAAAAAAAGAACATAAAGAAGGAGAAAAAAAAAGAAAAAGGAAAAGATTAAAAGTTATGGATATGCCAATATTACTAATACATATGTGCATTATAAGCCCTGATCAATTTTTATTCCTCTAATAAGACAAACATGTAAACACAACTGTTTTTTTATTTTCCCCCTCCCCTTTTCCTTAGCAAAATATACAGGGTTGAAAGGTCAGCAAAGATATAATGAATCAGAAATTAGCTATATAACAGATTCAAGTGAAGATTTTACCTTTAAACATTTTCAGAAAAATGAGAATAATGACATTTTAAATAAGTTTGATTTTTAGGTATCATTTTTAAAGATCTTTTTATTAAGATTCTTTTTCTAAGCGGAATCCTTTTTTTTTTTGTGTTTTTTTTTTAAGGTTAATCATATTTTAAAATATTTTTATCTTCAATCAAATCTTCCTACTATTCATCCATCTGCTCCTTTGTTATGTCTTCCAAAAGCTATCTTATTTTAATGCAAAAATGTACAGAATTTTAGAAAATTTCATTTCTTATTCATGCATGTGTATACTCATGTAAGGTTAATTAAAACAGGTATGTTGTGACAAAAGGGGAAAAAAACGTACAAACGGTAAGTGGCCTAAGGGAGATGTGACAAAGTGAAGATGTGGTCAAACAAAAAAGTAAGGAATCATGAAATGATGTGACAAAATGGGGAAGCAAACATCTCTAACACAAGACTTTGCCAAATTCCTCAAGTTGAAAAAAATTAGAAAAAAAAGGGGACTTTTGAGGTTCTTTAAAATAATACATAATCGGCACATATTGGAATTTTACACAAATTCAAGCACAAAGTTGTGGAGAAATTACTTCCTTTCTTACAAAAAAGAAAACAAAACAGAAAACGAAACAGTACAAAGAAGGACTTGTATGATTAAACGTAGACCAGTAGCACATATTTCAAAAAAACAAAAACAAAAGCGTCAAACAGGGTGTTTCCACCCAATAGATAAATGGATGCGCATATGTATATACATGCATATATACATGCATATATACATGCATATATACATGCATATATACATGCATATATAAATGTATATCTTCTTTTTATTCTTTTCCAACCTCATCACCTGTATGGGTGCACGTATATATGCTTGGCTGGGGCTAGGGGAAAAAAGTAAAATGTTTCATTCTTAAAGTGATAATAGCAAAAATTCACCTTGCATTTGACAGGTAAAGTAGAGGAGTAATCAAAATTAATTTCCACATTTTTTTTAAATTCAATATTTATAATTCTTTTAAAAGGTGTGGTAACATCACGCCGGCTATCACCTACACAGGTATAGCCTTTTATGTTCCATTCACTAATGTCTATTTTGTGATAATTCGATTTATTTATTTTTTGGGATAGACTAGTACACTTCTCCATTGTATTATTACTAATATTATTATTATTTTTCTCCCTCTCTATGTAAAAATTGTGTACTTTTAAATATTTGTCCTCTAGCTCGAAGTCGGAGGCATTTTTCACGTTTTGGATTTCCACTTTTGCTTTCTTTCGCTTCGCAAATAAAGAATTCTTTGTTTCCTTTTTGTTTGTTTTGTTCATATTTTTTAAATGTTTCAAGGAATGATCTTCAGACAGCACACTTTCAACCATGAAATTGTATGTTGTCAAATTGTTGCTACAATCCATGTTTCTACATTTCGTACTAGTGCCATGTAGAAAATTCTCCTCCATTCTGTATTTCTTTTTCTTGTAGTTACTTACTTCCTTATGTTCTATCTTATTCATTATGAGAATGTCTTCATATTCTATATACAAAAATAAACTGTTAAAAAAATGCTGTACATGGTCAGGCAAATTTAGAAGAATTTTTTTAAAATTTCCCTCGTCATACTCTTCCAAAAATCCAAAATATTCCATTTCAAACGATAGCTTAATTTTTACAAAAAAGAAGGATAAAAAGAGATAAGGAAAATTTAAACACTTGTTGTAATTTATAAAATCCTTAATTTTCAAATGATTTAAAATAATTTTTAATATTTTATTGATCAAAACATTTACAGAATATGTATCATCCTTATTTACGTTCTCTTCCTTAAGTAACAATTTGTCTATACCTACTAAGAGGTGACTAAACTGTTCTGTGGAATTAACAATTTTGACACGTCTTCTTCTTCTCCATCTTCTTCTTTTCACTTTGTGAAAAATGTCGTATATTTTTTTTTTTTCTTCTTTATTCTCAAAATTATGAAATACATTCTGATCATTTGCACAAAAATTGCCAAAACAGTGCTTTAACGCCTTAAATAATAAATAATTCTCATCATAAATTTTGTTTATGATCGTGTAAAGTATGTGAGATATGTTTACAGAGTAAAAATAATTCATACTAAATAAGTAAGAAATTTTAATTAGCTTTTTATTTATTTTATGATTTATGTTAATAACTTTTTTATGATAAAAATATTCAGGAAATTTCTTTTTAAAATCTATTATCTTTTCTCCATTTTTCATTTCATGATGCTTCTCCTTGTACTTAATTTTTATTTTAGATTTCAAAAATGTAAATTTTTCATAATTCCGTTCTCGTAAAATATATCTTCCTTCAGATACTTTTTTGTCTGTTCCTTCTTCACTCATTTGGAAAACCTTTCTGTAAAATTTGTTTGTATGATTAAACATATCATGTGCAAAAATTTTTTTTTTTCTTTTATGCTCTTCCCAATTGTAATTCTTCGCACGCATGTCCTTCTGTCCCGCCTCTTCCTCTTCTTCTTCTTCTTCTTCTTCTTCCTCCTGCTCCTCCTCATCATAACTCTGTTTTATGTCAGATCCATGTCGTGGTTCCTCCTTCAATTCGTCACAGTGTTTCTTATGAATCTCACTCATTTGGATATTCCTCTTAATAATAGCATCCATTAGTTTACATTCTTCATTAACCATATTTGACGAATCAACACTTTTATCTATTCCAAAGGGAATCAAATTTCTTTGGTGTACTACAAACCCTTTAGACATTCCTCTCCATGCACTACTCCCCAAGAGGTCCAATTTTTTCACATTCCTACGATGCACAGATAAAATTTTTCCAAAAGATTCTGTTTCTTCAAAGTAACTATCATCAAATGAAAGGAATTTATTCAACAAATTTCCATCGGCCGGAAAACAACACAACTGACTGAAAATTGTCTCATGCTGTAACAAACGAGATTCGACAAATTCGAAACTCATTTTTCTTAAAAAGTGTTCATAATATACAAAATAATTTTTATTATGCTCAAAATTATCTCTCAGCAAAATTTGAAAAAAAATTTTAGTAGCCATATTTTCGTTTATCAAATCGTTTACATGAGGTGCATATTTCATATAAGACTGTTTGAAATATATTAAGCTTCTCTCATTCTCATTTTTTGTTTTTCCTCTCCTTTTTCTTACACTTTTTTCATTTCTTGTATTATTTTCACCCGACATCATATCTGTACTTTTCCTCAATCGCTTCCATCTGACCATTAGACTTTTTCCAATTGAAGTTCCTTCATAAACATACTCAGATTTCAGCTTCAATTTAGCACATTCCTCATGAGAATTACTTATCCTGTGTAGAATTTCTGTCAATTCATTACTATTATTCATGTAGGTAAAATTGGAATTCTTAAAAATTTCTAAATATTCCAAAAAATTATGCGTCTTCATATTTGTTTGATCATGCAATATTTGCCATAAACTTTTTTTAAAAAAAAAACAATTTTCTCCAAAAAAGGAAATTTTTTTGTTAAAAAAAAAATTCAAAATACTCAAAATGTAAACGTAACAGAAACCCCTTTCTTTATCACTTATGCTTAATTTAATACAATGTGGATATTCTAAAAAGGAATAACTCTGATGAAGTAGTAATTCCAATGACACTTCTTCCTTACATGGAAAGTTCTCCTTCTTAACCTCTTTTTCGTAGGTCTCCATTGAATCTGTATCATAACATGTGTCACTAATTTTCCAATTTCTTCCCAAATTGTTCATTTTATTCAATTCCTTTTCTTTTTCCTCCCTGTTGCCCATGAGTTTATTATCTGTACACTTTTCTCTCCCCTGATGGATACCCAAACTTTTGCATACGCGATTTCTACTGTAGCCTTTATCATCTTCCACTTCATCCTCTTCCACTTCTGCATCTTCCACTTCTTCTTCATCGACTTCTTCCCTCCCTAGCACGGCGAACAAATCTGCGTTAATTTGAGTTCCATTTTCCAAAGCCTCATTCAAAAGCGTGTTAGAAATATAGTAACCGAATTTGTGAGACCATTCAAACAAATTAAAATGAGGAACATAATTGTCAGAATTTTGTATGTAATTCCTTCTAAAGTTGTTAAAAAAGAAAGAATATACAAAACTTGGATATTTAAAAGATAGTATAATTAAAACAGAATACACACAACACCATTCTTCATTGTTGTGTATCATATCATCCACTAAGTATACTTCATGTTCGTTAATACTGTCATAATCTTTTGCTTCTCCAAAACACTCTACATTATTTGGATTAAGAGATGGGTGCATGTTATATTCATCAATGTTACTCTTTCCTGTATTGCCATAGCTAGGGTTATTATTCCGGTTAGTACTTCCTCGACCAACAGTTCTATTGTTTAAACTATGATTGCATTCGTTTTCTTCACCCAAATTTAATCTCAAAGATTCATCAGAAAATTTTTCAAAATCCATTAAATGGACATTTGTTTTGTAATTAAAATTATAAAGACACAAATTATTCAACAAATTTAAAACTACATTTATTCCATTTTGTTCATATTGACTATAAGACAACATAATAAAAATATATTTCCGTCTTTCCTTATTTAAATTTTTCAAAAGAACTGACATATATTTATTGAAAAATTGCTTATTTATTGGAATTATATGAGAAATTTTTGTAATCAAATATGTTACATAACTAAATATATGTATGTCTATGTGATTAAAAAAAAACACAATATTCTTTTGTATTATTTCAATTATCTCCTTATCATGATACATGTCAATAAATAAATCGAATATTTTTAAAATGAAAACTAAAATATGTTCTTCATCCTCATCGTCTATTTTATTAGTTAACCAACCATTACAAGGATCACTATTAAAAACTGTTTCAAAATTTGTTAATAAAAGTGAATTCTTTATTTTATATTCATTTTCTTCTCCATTTCGGCTAGTAATACCTTGTCTATTTCCTAAATTCATATATTCATCCATAGTATTCTCGTTCCAATTATTTTTAAAGGAGTGAACATTTCGTATACTATTCCCTTTGGATATATATAAATTACTGTTTTCATTTTTCATTACTAAATTTTTACTCACATTATTGTATTCAAAATTTAACTTTTCTTGGCCATTTCCTTTGTTCATAATATTTTTTCTGCATGTTTCATTACTACTTTTTATCAAATAACTTGTGTACATATAATTATTTTTTAAAAAATCCAAATTATGTTTCTGCAAATTTACCATTTTACTTGTCGTATGTCCTCTGAACATAGTTCCCTTTTTTCCCACAAGGCTTCCAATGATTAGAGATTTGTGGAATAAGAAAAATGTCGTGGAATTTGACAATTCGTCTACCTCTCCCTGGTAATGAGTTTGAACCTTCCTATGGTAAGCTTCACAGTTGGCCATACATTTGGCCATACATTTGGCCTTACATTTTGCTTTACATTTTGCTTTACATTTGCCCTTACATTTTGCCTTACATTTTGCCATACATTTGGCTATACATTTGGCTATACATTTCTCCTTTACATATGTATCCCCTTTTGACATTCGGATTTCCTTCTCATCCATTTCTTTTCCTGTGCAGTGAACACCTCCTTTGTATCTGTTCTCGTTTAGTGCACATAAAACTGCGACAAAAGATTTAAGGGATTCTACGCGAACCATGATATTCTGAATTTCAGCACAATAAGCAAATAAAGTTATAAAAGAATTTAACATTTTTGAAAATATCTTTTCATCATTATTTACAACTCTGGCATTGTACTTGAGGTTATTTTTTGCTAATATATCCAGCCCATCAATGTTTCGCTTCAAATAATTTACAAATAAAAAAAATGCATATGATAAATTAAAGGAATCTCTTTTTAACTTGATTAAAATTTCGAACATGCACACAAGGCATTTCAAATTCATCACTTTTAAAATGTCGTCTTCTGCAAACATCTTAACACATATATATGAGTAAATATTTAATATGATGCCAAATATCTTAAAATGGAAACGACAATTTTCTGAAAAATTAATAATTTTCTTAATACATTTCAATAATTCTATAACAGATTTTATTAAATAAATGCATTGCTTATCTGTCACTGTTAACATATATTTTAACTTTTCTGATATAAGTTTTATTATTTTTTCTAAATAATTTTGTGCAAATCTTTCTTTTGCTAACTTTCTCTCCATAAACAATTGTCGATCCTTTTCTTCCACCTTATTTATGTCTAACGACTCTACATTAGAACCTAATATAAAATTTCCATTCTTCTTTTTTTCTCTCTTCAAGGAACCCTTCAGAGTGCTAATATTATTCTGATTGCACTTATCACATCTACCACAATTCCCACAATCATTCCCTTTTTTTTTTGTAACATTTCTATACAGTGTGTAAAGTCCTCCCTTCTGTCCAATATTATTATTCTTATCTAAAACATGAGGGGCATCAATCGTACACATATCGATGAGGCTATTGAAATAGTCTTTGCACTTCTCACCTTCATTCATCACATTTTCTACAAACTGAAAATTGTTATTATCCTCCATGTTACCTACTACCTTTCGAGAGTCGTTAGTACCCATCAATGATTCATTGATTAACTTGTTTTCAATATTTATGCTATAATTATGCACACGATTGTAGTTGTTCATATTTACCTGATCCGTCATATTATTTTTACTATTGTTATTCTCGCTACTATTATTATTACTAACCATTTTGTTATTATTAACCATTTTGTTATTAACAATTTTGTCATTTTTGACATATTTCTTGTTATACAAACCACTCTTATTTTTGTAAATTTTATGGGTATAGGTCAGATTTACCTTGCTAGAGGAGTTCGTAAAACACCTGCTGTTATTGCGTCTGTAACAATTCCTTTGCATGTTATTATTCTCACTATTTCTGAGATTTCCTGTCGGATTAACAGTTCTGTTATCTTGAAAATTGTTATTCTTGTTATTTCTGACATCTCTTGCCAAATTATGCACGCTGTTGTCTATTCTTCCCACGGTTTCAAAGTTACTCCCGCTCATCATGAACTTGTCACATCCCTTCTTTCCTTCTTCATCTATTGAAAAGGTATTTCCTTCCCTTCTAGATAAGGAGTTATTAGGATTCATAACATTCTTATTAATATTCTGTTTGAACAAACCTTTGTAAAGATTCTTATTCGCTGTCATACCATAACTACTATTCTTATTTTCATTATTATTTTTCATATCAAAACAAGTAGGGCCTCTGTCTACATCTGACATGAAATAATGATTGCTTATGTTGCTGCTATCCCTTTGGGGTGCCTTAACATTTTGAAAAAGAGGTTTTCTTGATTTATTTGATGTGTTACTTACTTCTATTCCTTTATTGTGTCTGTATAATAACCCACCACCACCTCCTCCTTTTACAACTGTGTCATGTCTTAAATTCTGTTGTAATTCATTTTCACGCCCTTTGCAAATTGCAAAATTTAATTTGTTCATACTTTTATTCCCTTCATAGTTCTGATTCGACAATATATTTGTAGCCTTGTTATGATGTGACTTTTTTTTTTTTTTAATTTTTCTCTTTTCTTCTTTTATATTGTTATTTCTAACACACTTGTTAATATTGCCTTTTGGTTTTTTCCCTTTCAATTCTTTTTTCATTATATGTCTATATATCTTTTATATAATATGTATAACAAAAAAAAAAAAAAAAAAAAAAAAAAACTTTTTTTTACTATTTAATTGTTTTTCTCTACATGACAATCTCATGATTATGCTATTAAGAACTTTTGTGTGTCTGTCGAGAGTAAACTAGGGGAATGCGTAAAGTAGTCTTCTTTTTTAAGAGACCATATCATATTTGTGCGATCTACTTTTGCTGTAGACAAAATAGATTTTTTTTTTTTTTTTTTTTTTTTTCTCTCTCTCTCTCTCTCTCTCTTTTGCCGAAGAGTCTTTTAAAGTAACCCAAACAAGATAGTGCAATGGGGGTATATGAAACATATACGTTATATATATATGTATATGCATATATATATGTACATATGTAAGCGCACTTAATATCATATATGCATATATCCACTCATATGTAAGTAGTGTACTGACGTACATTTCTCCATCGTAAGAATCTTATATATTTCTGTAACCATATCACCAACATAAAATGACTTATATATGAACATATGTAATAACCCTTCTGCTACCTCTTCCCTTTTAAGATGATGATTAAAAAAAAACCTTTCGTTTTTGGAACTTTTTCAGAGCGAACCAATCTGTTCCTGAGATCCACTCGGTTAAGTTATATATTCATATAATATTATTATCATATACATACACTGCTACTATCATATGGATTTACCGCTACTATCATATGGATTTACCGCTACTATCATATGGATTTACCTCTAGTAGCATATGCATGTACTGCCATATTGTATGCATATAAATAAGTGTACCCCAAAGGTTACACAAAAAAAAAAAAAAAAAAAAGTACAAGGTAAATTTAACCCATAAAAAAAAAAAAATTACATTCCTGCTAAACTATGTTAAACGTTTTAACCATTTCAAATTTAATTTAATTAAGTTCAAAATTTTACATCCTTCAAGGTTTGGATGTATACAAAGATTATAGAAAGTAAAAAAAAAAAAAAAAAAAAAAAGAAAATGTTTATACCTCCTCGTCCAGTTAGGAATAATATTAATTAGCAATAATTTCTTTAATTTTTATTCTTTTCTTCATAAACAAAAGTGTATGTATAATTATTATGTTACACATACATAATTTGGTATTGTACCTTATAAATAACTTTTTTCTTCTTTTATTATTAATAATTAATCTGTAATTTTTTTGGGGAAAGGGCGGTTGAGGGCTACATTTTTTTTTTTTTTTTTTTTTTTTACACCATCCTATTTTTTTTTTCACTTATGATTTTACATACACGACATATTATGTATAACTACTCCTTTTTCTTTGTTGTTTGTTTAAAATGAACCATGTGTGTTATTATACAAGTAATATTATCACTTAATATATGAAATTCTACACATATTTTAATGCCATCCAAATTAGTAGTTCAACAATAAAGGGAAAAAAAAAAAAGTGTAACATATAAAACACATATATACTAAACTGCTTACACACAGGAATGTATAATTTTCCTAATTAAATGCAACAGGAAGGTGAATATTTTTGAACTAAAATGCGGACTAATTATGCAATGCAATTACGTGACTAAATTGTGCAATGGAATTTCCTACTTTTTTTTTTTTTTTTTTTTTTTTTTTCAAAAAAAAATTTGCTATTTTCTTAACAAATAGAGAAGATAATTTATTGTGTACAATTCATTTTCTCAATATCGAATTTGCAAAGGAGTAGTTTCAAAATCACATCAAGGGAAAATATTTAGCTAGCACCTTTTCTCACCCGACCCTCTACATATATCCCGTTATAGAAAATGAAACAACTTGGGAACACTACTTTTCACTAGCAGTTTTTATTCCAAACAAATAGACCACATTCCTATCCTTCTATTTCAAAAACTGTCTTTGAAATTTTGTGTGTATCCTCTGCTAGCCAAATAACAGACAAGGAGAAATATTATCGCATAACCAAAGGTGGCAAAAGGAAACAAGAAAAATAATTAGCAGTATCAGAAGTGGTAGAAGTGGTAGAAGTGTTAGAAGTGTTGGAAGTGTTGGAAGGAATTGCAGCCCAGAGCGTAACAAGGCGAAAGGCAAATGAAAGAATCGAGAGAAGGGCGAGCTGAAGACGATTGAAATTCTTAATCATGAATGAAGAAGAAAAAGTGTTCTTCAAATTTACTGAAAGTAAAATACTACTAAAGGAGTTTTGCGAAGAATATGTAAAAGTAAAGAAGAACGAAGAATTACTTACACAGCAAATGAATAAAATCCAACTAAAAAATTACGAGCTGGAAAATGAAATTGAAAAATATAAAGAACTGATAAAAAATATAGAAAGGAAAAAAGACAAAGAAATGGAAAATTACAATTTTGAATATGACATTAAAATTAAAAAATTAGCAAAAGAAATGGACTTTTTAAATTCTTGCTTAAATAAGGAAAAAGAAAATAACAATTTGAAAGCAACAGAACTTATAGGGCTAAAGTTAGAAAATGAAAAATACAAAATAAAATTATGTAATAAAAAAGAAAATAATATTCAAGAAAAAGATAATACTAAACTACTTACACAAAGCAACATTAATGTGCTAAATAAAATATATACAGATATAAATCAAAAAGTAGAAAATATAATGAAACATTTAAATGAAACGAAAAATAATAGACACGATATAGAACAGAAAATAAAAAATTACCAATCAGTTCTTAACGAATATTTAAAAAAAATTACTGAGATAAATTTAAAATATGAAAAATTTTATAAATTATATAAAGAGGCTCATTTTAAAAACATTCTAAATAAATCAAAAAATAAACTTCTCAAATGTCAGATAGAAGAATTAAAAAGTGAAAATAAACTCCTATCAAATCAAATTCTTACATTAAAAAAAAGTATTAACAGTATCGATGTAGAGAAAACGCAATATTATCTATTGCTAAAAAAAGCAGAAAAAAAAAACTTGTTCTTTTATCATAAATTTGACGTAAATAAAATGTCACAGGAAAGTGAAAAGGAAGCAAAGCATGCTCAACATGATGTCAACCAAGTTACCCACATTTCATCTGATACACCACAAAAGATATCGCACCATTCTAACATGTTAGATAAACAGGTACAAGATAATACAATTCATAAAAGTCCAAAAGAATTCAACAAAAACACATCCATTTATAAATACAGACAAATGAACACAAATAAATCATACCGATCAGATGAATTTAATATAAAAAAAGAGAGGAAAAGGAAAAAAATCCTCTTCTTTTCAGATAATGATTATGATAAAAGGAAAAAAAGGAAAAATCAAATGTCGAATGCAGAAACTAGTGTGCACACCACATTAATTTAATAGGTAACTCTATATATCTAGTTGACAAAAAAAGTAGCGACTTATACAAAATTTCTCATGCAATGACATTAGATTTACAATAACCAGAATTCATATATGATGCACACGTGTGCCCATGTTTCTTCCCTACGCACTTAACACACCTCGTCCGTACCAATCTGAACATATTCGAATTATTACCACCACACCACCACCTCTTTCTGTGTGTCCCTTTATTCATGCTGACTATAATAAACATGATGTCTCTTCATTTTCATTTTACTGCTTTATATATATATATTTTTTTTTCAAGTGTGCATAACTGTTCCCTTTTTTACGTTTCAAGTGTGCATAACTTCTCCCTTTTTTTTGTTTCAAGTATCCATAATTAACTTCTTTTTTTTTTTTGTTTCAAGTGTGCATAACTGACTTGCCACTTTTTATTATTTTTTTCTGTCGAATGGATTTCCAAATGGCCCTTTTTTCTTAATAGCCACATTATACCTCTTGTCTTGTTACAATAGAGGAATGATTGATCCCTAGTACACATAAACATGTGTGTACATATATGCACACATGTACATATACATATCGTAAAAAAAAAAAGAAAAACATTGTAGAGTAATCAAATATGTTTTTATTCATAATGGGTGCCAGCACACGTGCTGATGTGTCCCAGTAAGAATAATAAAGTCTGTTCATGTTATAGTTACACCATCACAGTTCATCGAGACAAATCGTTGGGAGACATAATGAATACAATCCTATGCATCATATTAATGTGAATATATATACAGACGCAAAAATAACAAAATAATGTAGTACAATATTTATGGAGGACAGAAGGGGCTAGTACTTTTTTTTTTCTATTACTTAAAAAAAAAATTATAAATTTGAAAAAAAAAAAAACTTTTAGTGGCTAACAAAAAAATATATATACTATAAAAAAAAAAATTGGAAAAAAAGTAAAACATATAAGAGAATAAACTTGAGAACCAATACAATAATGATTTCTAGCTATACTATACAAATTTATTAAGACATCATTCTTAATATCGTGGCTATAATTAAATTTAATATCTTTATTACTTAAATAATATTTGTTTAAATATAAAGGTTGAAATATTTTGTTAGAACAAAGGAAATCCAAAATTTCAGGAAAGTACTTGCTATCTTTTAACTTTGATTTCGTCAAGTATTTCTGACACTTCGCAAGATTGCTAACTATCTGATTCGTTATTTTATTTCTCGTAACCTGTGGGATAAAAAAAGAGATGGGTAAATTGGTGTCCAAAAACAAAATGGAAAAATCGTTCACAATTTGAGAAGCAACTGTGTAGAAAAAAACACACATAAAAAAAAAAAAAAAAAATTTATTACAATTCTGTTTTTATTTTTATTTTTTTTTTTCTACACAGGTGTTTTTCCTAAGCATGTGACGATTTCTAAATTTACCAGAATAAAACCTTCGTAGGGATACACATAAATTAACATCAAAATAATAAATGTCAGAATAAAAACTTTCTGGATGATTTTCTTGCGCTTTGTTTTTATGTTATGTAAGAATGATACAGGTATAACGAACAACACGCTGAAAAGAGCTGCGTAGGACCAGTTGTATAGCTGAAACAAGGAGAATAGTAAAAAAAAAAGAAAAAAAAAAATGAAAGAGCTGAAATAGAAAGTTAAAGTGATCACAATAGCAATACATGTCATGACATATAAAAGAAAAAAAAAAAAAAAAAAAAAAAAAAGCCACAAGCACGTGACATTCCCGTTTTGATGCAAATTCACAGGTTACTCCTCGAACGTACAACCAAGGGACGAATAAAAAAAATTTATTTTTCCTCTTTTTGGCATTTTCACTCATCCATCCATACTCACTAACTCATTTATTGCTATTTTTTTTTTTTTTTTTTTTTTTTCTCCATCGCTCTTACTGAGGACAGGAGGACAACGAAAATGAAATAAAACAAGTTCATCTGATTCATTATGGATGAGTAGGGTGCTACAGAGGTGTTGAAAATGTATACAACATTTGCACTACCCAGGAATTCCAACTTTTTTTCTGCATCATCTAATTCTTCTTGCAATGCATTAATCAAAATTCTGTTTTTCTTTTCCCGCAGAAAATCCTCGTCGTCACTATGTACAATTTTTGGTTTTGTTAATTTTGAAAGGTCTCCTGAATTTGTTATAATTTTTTCAGTATCAATGGTTTCATAAATTGGAGTTATTCCAATGATACTTTTTATTTTATGATGCAAATTTTTTATTTTGTCTAATATTACAATTTTCTCAAATTTCTTTACCTTTTGATATTTCTTCACTTTACAGAATTTTTTAACAATACTGGAAATTACATAATTAAAAATAAAGGCCACTATTATTGATAGGATAAGAATGTCTAACCAATAGTTGGCTATTTTTGCATAATCCTTGAAATGATCTGGGTGCCATTCTTCACACAATGGTAATTTCTTTTCTAAATTTAATAATTCATATATTTTATCATTTGTTGAAAATAAATAAAAAGGCAAAGATATAATTAAAACCGTCTTAATGTACCCATATAACCCTATTACAAAATTTATGTAATTTCGAAAAATAGAACTTTTTAATAATTTCAAAATAGCATAACCACATATTAAGTACACACCATAACAGTATATACTAATTGGAATCCTTCTTCTTATTGTATCAAAAAAATAAAAATTTGAAGAATGGCAAAATCCTTCTGGACTATTACTCTGGCTTCTTATAAAACTTTCCATAGATTTCGTAAAATTGAATAAATTTAGCATTTTATTTTTCAACGGAATTTTGCTCACACCTGTGGCGGTAAAGGCTGGGATGTTTTCCCTTTAAAAGGAGAAAGAAAGAAAAAAAAAAAAAAAAAAAAGAATAGAAAAAAAAAAAAAGTAGTTACAAAAGAATGGATGATACATATTTTTTTTTTTTTTTTTTTTTTTTTTTTTTTTTTTTTTTTTACTATACACTTACACAAAAACTAGCATGCACAAGTGTATCAATAACGAACTGTTCATAAACTGGACGAGCATACACGAAATTCCATCGGTACACTTTTTTTCTATCCATCTTTTTACACGTAAGAAGAACTACCTTAAAAAGTAAATATGGCCCTTTTCATAGTTCCTCTCTAATCCTGTATCAAAAATGACATGATGAGGAGATTCCACTTTTATAGGTATGTTGTAATAGTTTAACTCATTCGTCAACAGTAATATAAAGTCCAAATTTGGTAAGAGTCCATTTAGACCTTCATAATTTATATGTATATGTGAAGGAAATATGGATTCAAATTCTATTATAATTGCTGATCTGGAAAGGTATTTTCTATTATTATTTACATTATTACTATACAGAAAATATTCAATAAATTTCTGTATTCCTAATGAATATAATAATTCCTTATTCGTAAATAAAAATACAATATCCTTACTCATATAATTACAATTTACAAAGTAGTTAATCAATGTTAAACCAACTGAAATTGAGTGAAAATTTTTCCTTTCTTTGTAATCAAAATTTATTACTACTATTAAATTTTCCATATTATTGCAAAATTTACAAGGTACAGTACTTATTAATACGTTATTATTGATCTCATCATTTTCATTAATTCTAATCTTTACAGTTTCCACAAACGGTGAAATGTCTTTTATGTATTTATTTATTATGTCTATTATATTCTCTTCTTTAAATTCATAATTCGAAAAGTACCTACTCGTGTTATTTAAAAATTCCTCATCTTTTTTGTTTAAATTGGAATTTCCCGGGAACTGAGAAAAAATTAGCGCATCTAAATCTGCCTTTTTATTAATTTTGTTGAAGGCACAAAGGTATGCGAAGCCAGCCACAGACAGGCTAATTCTGCAAGAAAAGAAAAAAATGAAAAAAAAAAGAAAATAATATAATAAAAAAAAAAAAAAAAAAAAAAAATAATATAATAAAAAAAAAATAAAAAAATAATATAATAAAAAAAAAAAAAAAAAATAATATAATAAAAATAAGCAGACAAAATGGAAAACACCCAAGAGTGCAAACACACAAACATGATGAGAGAAAAACTGCCCTAACAGACAAAACATGTAGGCATGGATGCATACAGGCTCATGCACAACTAGTTTATAAAAGAAAGATCATCGTGACATGAATGTTAGTCCTCGAGTGAGACCCCTCATAAATCCACAATTCCTTCTTTTGAACTATATAGTTTACTCCTTTTTATATACCCTATGAATTTCCACTTTTTAAGGATTTTTTTGACAAGCAAAAAAAATTTAGGGTTCTCAGAAAACCCCATTATAAAATAAAAGAGAATGGAATAAAATAAACACTTGTGTTCAAAAAAAAAGGAACGTGGCAAAGCAGAGGAATTTCTAAACAATTTGAAATCGAAAGTGGGAAGATAAACGAGAATGTTAACTCAAACGTTCTCTACTAAAGATGGACTATGCAGTGAAGTTGCTGTGAATCTAAATACGTAGATTTTATCGTGAGAAGATATGTTCGAAAAATTATTCCATAATTCCTCCGCTGGGATACATTTACTTTCAAATTCTTCCCTCAGTATAAAAACTGCTCTGTAAAAATATATGTGAAATGTAATATATCATATTCTCGCTTTGCTTTGCTTTGTTTTGTATTATTTTGTTTTTCCCTCCCACCCTTTCATGTGCCAATCCATACATTTAAGATTATGTGCAATATTTGCACAATCAACAAAAAGATCTATGGAAAGGAAAACTAAAAAAAAAAAAAAAAAAAAAAAAATTTTTTAACTTATTTTGCAATCAACTTATGTCATATGTTTTGTAGGGTAAGTTCTGTAGGAAAATGGAAATGTTGGGGTGTGAGGATACTGGGGAACTACATAGGAATAGGAACATAAAATTTCCATTGTATCACACTTTTTAATTATGAACGTATATTTTGATAAAATTCGTGTTTTCTTTTTTTTTTTTTTTTAAACGCAGCAATTATTAAAAAGTATAGTACAAAAAAGAAAAAAAAAAAAAAAAAAAAAAACCCTTTAAACTACCTAAATTTTTAATTTAAAAAAAACTTTTATTATATAAAATTTTTATATATATTTTGTTGTTTCTATTTTTTTTTTTTCTTTTTTTTTTTTATTTATATGTTATTCTTTTTTTTTTATTTTTTTTTTTACATATTATTTTTTTTTTTTTTTTTTTTTTTTTCCTTTTTTTTTTTTTTTCTCTTTTTTGGTTTTTTTTTTTTTTTTTTTTTTTTTTTTTTTTTTTTGTTTTTTTATTTAAAAAATAAAAAAACAAATTTTTAAAAAAAAAAAAAAAAAAAATTATAAATGTGGAAAACATATCTGTGAATATATACATAAATATGAATGTCACAAATTCGTTAAGAAGGAAAAAAAAAAAAAAAGTAAAAATTGCTAATATAATTAAAGTGTCTATTTTTTTTTTTTTATAACACGAATGCTATTAAAAGTATATTGCAAAAAAAAAAAAAAAAAAAAAAAAGAAAAGCCCTGTGAACTACCTATAATTCTTACTTCACACACACCTTGATCCTACGTAATGTTTGCATATATATTCTGAAGTATCATTTTTTTATTTTCATTTTTCTCAATTTACAGGCTATGGTTCAGATAAGTGTCCCATTTGAACATTTTAATTTTTTTTTCTTTTTTTCTTTTTTTTTTTTTTTTTTTGGTTTTTTACTTTACAGAATAACAACACCGATTTTTACAAAAAAAAAAAAAAAAAATTATAAATGTGGAAAACATATCTGTGAATATATACATACATATGCATGTCACAAATTCGTTAAGAAGGAAAAAAAAAAAAAAAGTAAAAATTGCTAATATAATTAAAGTGTCTATCATTAAATCTATATAACATGAATGCCCTTCTCCTTTTATTGCAAAAAAAAAAAAAAAAAAAAACAAGCGTTTTTCATAAACATCACCATAGAAAAATAGATATATAGTAATTATAAGAAGTTACATGAGATTTATATGCAACTCCTTTTTATTAACTACACATGAGTGCAAATGAATAAATTGTATGATATATAAACTAATCACTTAACATTTATTTATACATCACACTAGAGATGGAAAATGTGGGGCGAGAGTGTAACATAGCATATGTGCACATTACAAAACGTGGAAATTAAGTTCAATAGAAATGTATGATAAAATTCTATGCATCCAGTTTGTCGTCTTGCAAAACTGATTTAATTTATATCATTGCATTCCTTCTCATTTTAATTTAAAATTTATGTGCTTTTTTTTTTTTTTTTTTCTTTCTTCCCTAATTTCTTTTTCCTCCACTTATATGATTTATAATAATGGATGTTACTATAATTGTAACTGTAACTACAATAAGTGGTAACATTTAACTAATTATTTTGATTGTCCATTTTGATTACCATTATATTCACCATTCTTCTGATTCAACTGATATGTCGTTTGCTCAGTGTAAGATGGGATAGTGTTGTTCTGATTATGTATATTATTAAATTGTTCATTATAAGCAGGATTGAACTGTTGATTATTTGGCTGATTATGTAAAGGTTGTTGTGTTCGTTGATTATAAGATATCGCATTGCCATTTTGATGGTCATGCATATTTCTGTTATTTATTTGATCATAATTTATAAAATTACTGTGCTGATTATAGTGAGACATGGTATTTTCCTGATTCGCATATGTGGACCTGTTATCTTGATAGTTATAGTGCTGTGATATGTCACTATTTGGGCTGCAATAATTTTGACTACCGTAATTTGGGCTGCAGTAATTTTGACTGCCGTAATTTTGACTGCCGCAATTTTGACTACCACAATTCTGACTACCACAATTTGGGCTCGCCTGACTCGCGTTAGCACCACTTGGTGGATATGGTTGGTGACTAAAGGACCCTCTACTGCTAGCAGAATCGTAGTTTCCCATATAATTCTGCTGATTATATGATGGTATATTATTCACACTATTACTATTATTATGTTGAGGCACATATGGCCTTTTATATACTGGTACATCTTCGTTTTTTTGGTTATTCTGAGGAATGTAATGATTTTGTGTCGTGCCTTGAGCATTATATAAACTTTCAGGGTTAGGTTCGTTTATATATAAAAAGGTTGGGTCACTAGGATCCACATATGCATTGCTATTTGAGAAAAATTGTTCATTAAATTCACTTAAGGTTCCTAAAGGTCTATTTTTTTTTGCTGCTTCATATACTTTAAAGAAATAGTTAAGGAAACTACTACATTGTCCATTCAGAAAAACTATATTCCATTTGCATGGACTTTTCAAACTATTGGGGTTATCAACTGATGGCTTTACAATACCAGAGAGATAATTCAAACCAAATACTGGTTGTTCAAATTTAGGTTTCTCAATTAGATTTAATGGTAATTCTACAGATATGAAATTTGCGTTCGTTCTACTTCGTTCACTCTTAATAAATACCAAACGTATGCTCGTTAGAAATATCATCCCATCTTCCTTTATCGTTCTGTAAAATGGGCAATTGTGAAACGGGAGTTCATAAAACATAAAGTGGGGTTCCTTCTCAGAGCGGTTCCATTGTTCTGTACATTCGTGTACAGGCCATTCTATATGTACACACATGTGCACAAATATATATATGTATATGTATGTATGCATATATATGTATGCATATGTATGTGCGTGACTCAAATGATGCACTTACTGATGGAGCAAAAAATACACGCAACCATCAGAGGAAATAAGGATGCTGGTAGTGGTTGTGGGGGGAACAAACCCTGAACCCTGCCACAGCACAACAATCTCTCCCTGTTGCAACACATGTACACGTTTCTACGTAATATCCCAATTTGCAATCTTTTTTAATTACCTATCTGGTAAGTATAGTTTCATTTTAACATCTTCCCTTCTTAAATACGTGAATTCAGATCCCTTGTTCGCTGGGAATAAAAATTCTGCGCAAAGAAAAATTAGACACGAGCGGTGGGGGAGTATGAAAATGTCAAGGGGGAAAAATTGTTAAAGGGGCCAAAATGTTCGTGCCTAACATGCAGGTGAAATATGCTCGCGGACTTCCAGCATAAATAAACAAGTTCAAGTTCCGCTATTTAGCAGTGCCATTATTCGACTCATTTGATCTATGTGGAAAAAGCCTCATTTTCTCAAGTGGACAATAATGAAAATATATTTCCATTTTATGTGTTATTTTCCATATTTCCCTTTTCACCTCTTCTTAGTTTGCCCTTTTTTCAGAACTTACCTTGCCCTTGAATTAGCGTTGGATTTAGAGCCATTTTCTTTATACATATGTATGCTTGTATATATATTTTTTTTTGGCTCCGACTTTGAGACCCCAGGTTGAATGGGCTTTAAAATGGGTTGCTAAAATGTGCCCTTTTTATGAGCTCCAGTGTTTACAATCAATTAATGTAGGAGGGAGATCTATAAAAAAAAATAAGCACTTGTTTGTGTATGTACATGTAACACATATTTATGTTCCTATTTTATTTTTTATATTTTTATTTTTTTATATTGAAACATATACTCCAGTTTTTCTGTTTTGCGCAGTTTCGTGCTTCTCAAAATTTCACACTTAAAGTAAATAAAGAGAAAAAAAATGAAGCAAAATGAAAAAAAACCATCACAAAAATGTATATACACTCTTGTCATTACATACGAATGTTTTTTTTTGCTTCAATTTTTTTTGCTTCATTTTTTTTTTTGCTTCTTTTTTTTTTCCTTTTTTACAAATTCGGAAGTTTTATTTTTACTTATTTAAAAAAAGTCTGAAAAAGGGAAAAAAAATAAATGCATAAACAAACAAATGAGTATAAACGGATATATAAGAAACATGCATAAAGTAAATATTAAGGTTGAAAATGCGTTAAAATGCGGTTTTCCTTATGCTTTTATTTGCCCTTTTTTACATGTAATAGAGTCCTATACATTTTGGGGGGGGGGGGGGGGGGAAAAAATTTGCC